TTAGAAAACCACTTTTCACATGCAATGAAAACATATTTTGTATAAGATTTTAACCTCCAACCCACAAGGTATAAATAGCGTACTTGACCGATAGTTATTTACTTGCGGGTATAATATAAGTATATGTATTTTCATATGTATATGTTTAATTCTGCTAGACAAGTGCTCGATTCTTGATGTTAGCCTACAAATATAGACCGATAGAGATTAAAATCGAATTTAACCGGTCTCTTGCGCTAACATTTACATCAAAATTAAATCAATAAAATATATTAGAAACGCTCTTAAAATTACACAAAGCGCAGTAAACCTCTTACTTAAATTCTTCATAATTTGGACTTTGTCAGACATAATAATAAGAAAAAGAATTTAACCTTCCAGTCATAAGAACTATAATATAACTTGATAATTTACTCTTCTCCTATGTACTGTGGACAAGATACATTAAAAATCACAGATTAACCAAGATGCTCACTATAAGCAACGGTTTGAAACAGCCTTTCTAACGAGCATCCTAAAAGTATTAAATACATATGGTACATTTATGAGAGGTTGTCTGATCATTATGAAGAAACTGGAAACGTAGATGACAAGCCAGGAAGCGGCAGCAATCACGTGACATCTAAAATTGAGAGCAAAGGTATTGTTCGCCTTTTTGAGAAGAAATCACTACACAGTCTAAGCTAAACAAATTTTGTGGGATTAGATAAATCTCTAAATATAATACGGGATAGACTCCAGAAATCTGGCATCACACAAAGCAGTGACGTAATCAAACCCCTACTTCAAAAAACACACATTGAAAGAATTTTTCATTTAGCACACTATTAAAATAATGTATTTTCTATAATCACAAAATTTTTCCCAATAAACGCTATCTACACTTTGGAAAACGAAAACGTTTTTTTTTTTGAATGCACTGTAGTTTCCGATTGGTTATGCCAGTGGAACTTACTAATAGAAAATAGCTCATCTAAGTTAACTATTTCAAATTTTGATAACACGAAGTACTACTACACTTTTACAATTCAGTTGGATGAACTAAGATAGATATCAGATATAGAGAGTTCCTGGCAAGAAGAAACAAACTCTGTTACCTAAGTAAATTTTTTGAGATTTAGATGAACCAAAGCTTTAATCTTAGCTTTCTTCTATCACAATCTGATAATATGTATGTATGTGTGTTTCTCATCATCGGCTGAGGTCATCTAAAATCTATATTTAAAACTTCCTAAAACTTCCTTCTAAGCTACTAACCGCACAACTTCATATTTTAATTAGCTCTTGGGCTATAAAATTTCGACACTTATAAAAGACGTTTTATTTATTGTTGTATTTGTACATGTAACTTAAAGAGAGAAAATGAGCTAGCACTTGAAGTGTTTTACCAACAACTTGAGGAACGCACGACAAACAATATAAACACTTAAGCGCTGAAATCTCAATTCTTCAAAGCCTCCCGCTGCTAAATCGAGATTTCAACCTGTGTTCGGGCACATCAATAGCTCTCCAACCATACACACAGGCACACACATATGCACACAGGCACAGGGTTATACTCATCCGTGTTTATCATTCCATCATTCACGTTTAGAGAACTACCGTGTTGCTGGATTGCCAAGTACAAAGTAAACATAGTCGAAGGTATATATGCATAATATCTTTTATTGGAGTTATATGCTCGCTCAATGTTTCTAAACGTATGCTCTTATATGACTTATGCTATATATTTGCCGACGATTTTCGATGCAACGTGTCGTTTGTAGTTGCGCATGATCGCCCGCCAGTCGGTAGCTGTTTGCCACCATTGACTGTGGACGTTGGTCACTCACAACAACACTTCGCTATGTTAATACACACATACACACATACATACAACGTTACCGGTCCACAGTGATGTCTGGTGACAGCATTAGTGTTGTTGGTCTAGTTGTGAGGCAGACGTCCGATGACTTACCGATCGTTGACTGACTTCCTAATTTAACTAATGATCGTTGTAATGTTTGATGTTTGTTTGACTTGCTGAATCGTAAATTTATGTATGTATGTGTGTTTGGTGCGAGTAGCTTCGTTGATTTTGGCTCTTCTCTTGCCTCTATCTTCGATTTTTTTACTGTAAAGGCTATTGCGCTGGTTCTTTGGTAGGTACATATGTACGAGTTTGTATGTATGTATGGCTACTGATTTGGTGGTCTAAAATTTACGGATTTATTTGACAACATTTTTGTTGAATGTTTATTTACTTATTAATTTTTCATTTAACAAATGTGTTCGATTTTGAGAACAACTCACCGCCACGAAGTTTACGTTATATTATATTTTGGTATGTATGTATGTACTAGTAGTCTATAAATACCATATGTAGACAATTTTCGGTAAATGGTCATACGTATGTTTATACCATAAATACATATGTATATGAGCTCTTATGATAATAAATTTTTAGTTTTCTTGCTGTTTTGCTAATTTGACACATGACCGCAAAACAAGTTAACGACTATTTTATTTATATTAAAATTATCAATTAATAATTCAAAAATAAAGATTTTTAGTTATAGGACAGAAAAAAGTAAAATAAGTACATCGGTCACACGTTCAGGCTTTACATACATAGTTATATAAAATATATGTACATATATTAATTTATTAAAATAGCTCGATCTACTACTTTAATTTGTGGCGTGTGCCTTGATGTTATTCGCCAAGTAGCAGCATGCCGACTCTGAGCAGCCTTTCCATGCCATATCTACGTATGCTTGTGGTATACTTTAGCCTACCGATAGGCAACGGCTTTTAAAAATGTTTGATGACACTAGACTCAGGAGTGTAGTGATGCATTCATGTTTCAACCATTCTCATAATTTTTATTGCCTTTGATTAGTGTCAGGTTGTCATTTGAATTTTTGATCTTTTTATTGTTGTTAGAAATCATGCTACCGCGCGTTAAGCTTTTCATTTGTATAAACGTGACTGATATGATCTAAGTGGTGCTTTAAGAAGCCAATAGTATATTAATAATATAATTTTACAGGAATTTGCGCAATGTTTTCTGACGATGCTGTCTCTTGTGGTCTACCTATAATCATACTGGACACTTGAATTGTGCATAAACAGTAGCTGTCTTCAATTCGCCATTTCTCTGCTCGCTACCTTTGCGCTCTTGTCAAAAATTCCATGTAAAAGTAAATACAAAGTTATCGAGTTTTTTTGATTCGCTACTCTCCAATGCTTGGCGAATCGAAGGCCGGTGTTTTTTCACATCAAAAAATAATATTTTATACAAAAGGTCCAATTTTTTCAATTTAAACAGAGTTAACGACACTTTGCGATCAATAACTTGAGAACGATTGGATAAAATACTCTGAAACTTTGACAGTTGTTTAGCTACTTGGGACTCTAAAAATATGATAGACTTTTTGTTTGTGACGTGATAGTTCTCAGCAGCTCATATTCAGAGTAACTTTGACTCAGACTTGACTGTTGCGGAACGATTAGAATTTAAAAAAGATGCTTTTGATCAGCCACTCTTTTTTTAGAGAAAATTTCACGCTAAAATTTCCACCACTTGCTGATTTTTTTGATGTATTCACATTTATATATATGCATGTATTCACAGGTGCATTTCTTATAGCAACTATGCCAAAGGGTGAAGGTTTTACGTACAAGATCTTGATTTTGATCGATCAATTTGTATGACTGCTATATGCTATAGGGGTCCAATCTGAACTTTTTGTTATGAGATTACAGCAATGTTTTGTACAATAATCCATGCCAAAGTCGTGAAGATAACTTATTAAATATAAACGTTTTCCATACATGGACTTGAGTTTGAACGATTAGTTGGCATGACAACCATATCCATAGTGGACCGATATTGGCCATTCCGCCAAATGAGTAGTTTTTTGACGTATTTCAGATCGATATCTCAAAAACAGAGGGACTAGTTCGCACGTATGTATATAGACGGACAGGCAAACTGCTAAATCGACACATCTCCTCACGCTGATCATTTATGACATGCATATATATTTTATAGGGTCTTCGACGTTTCCTACTGGGTGTTTCAAACCTCGAGGCAAACGTAATATACCCTGTTCAAGATATAAAAATGTAATACTCTTTATTGTAATGGGATCGATACTTGATTAGTTAGTTTAAATGTACTAAAAAGTTTGTCTAGTTTATAAATAGTCGAAATCTCCATTTTGTTGTCAGTACTTTTGGACTGACTGTTTCCAAAGGTTCCTTACTTTTTTTCTACGTTATGTAGAGAGTGGAAAAATTGTGTAAAATTGTGAAGAGGCAGTATAAACAAAATTTCAACGAAAACAATATAAAAACCACTAAGAAGCGCCACACGAATATAATTTATAAACTTGTTTAATTTTATAACTACTTAATTCGTCTGGAGCTGAATATGGCGATATACTAATTGATGAGCTAATGAATACATATATATTTCTAGAGACATACTATTTATATAAACTTGTTTGCTTTTTAATCAATATTATGTATAAAATTGGAGCTAAAAATTAACTTCTGTTGTACTCTCTTATTGAAAAATATTGAAGCATTTACCTTTTAAGAGATCTTAAAATGCCGACGGCTTACATAAAAAATCCTTTCCGCCCATAACAGTTAAAACTTAACGAAGAAAAATTTACCAAATTACAACAAATCTATCGAGGCATTGAATGGTGCGTAGTTGGGACTCATTTGGAAACAGAATGCGTCTAATGATTGTTTAAACGCTGGCGCTTGCGGTAAAGTGATCGTGGGGAATTCTTCATATACTTAAGTATTTATGTATATCCTCGAAATATCTTAGTTTTCATATAATGAAATGTAGCAATTAACAAATTTGGTAATTGGTTTGATGCGAAAAGCAATTATTTAAAAATCCATGGTCATTTGCCTCTAAAAGTTCACATTGTACAATATATAGAATTAAAAGCAGGTTATTTTAATATGTGTATATGGTCGATTTCTTTAATTCATACCTGGATCCATATGTAATGCAATAAATTAATAGTTGGGCGCTTGGCTTTGTTATATTTTGAATTTCTAACGCAAAAAAATTAGGTCTTTGTTAATTGTTATTTCTTTATCGCTGTGTTCAATTTTTTACTGTAAATATGTGTGTACACAAGTACATAAACAAATATAGGCATAAAAAATCACTTTCTTCTTCTTCGTTTGGTTAGTTTCCAAGCCCATTCACAGCCACTGACTATTAATATGCTCTGCTTGGCAGTAATAAATTTTATTAGCACTTTTCCGTGGTATATTTTTCTGTTTAGAAGCTTAGCTTGCACTTCACTTTTTGTTTATTCAAATATTTTGCACTAATTTCGGTTTCCGATAGAGGCCGAGGTATTAACGGCTTTAAATGCCAAATTCACGCTTATTCATTTCTTGGCTATAGGGTCATAGTATTGATCAGTTTACTTTAAGTATGTATGACAATAAGCTTAAAGAAGCACATATCAATGTTTTATTTTCTTATTTTTATGGTTCAAAATTGTTACACATCCAATTTAAAGATAACTTTTTCCGATCGGCGCGGAGCACGCGTAAAACATTTTACTTAAGTATGTCTTGTTATCCGTGTTGTTGCTACCGTTGACATTGAAGCGCGTATGTCAAATGCTAAAGGTTCTTCACAATCACTCAATGTTTGAGCATATATCAAACAAAGCGTCTATGAGGTCAAAATTCATATAAAACATGTAACAAAAATACACACATAAACAAACACATCAAATGTTTAAAAATCGTGCAGAAAAGATGGCGAAATGCAAAAACTAATTTTAACACCCACTATTTTTTTTTTTTTGGCTTTCAGGGTTTATTCTCTTTTTCAAACACTCATTATTTGAAGTTCAATCTTTATATGAGTATATACGTTAGTATGTACGACAGTGCTGAGCTCTGATCTGTTTCGATTCGATTCGATGCGTTGCTCTGCGATGCGATGTACCACGTTACGATCAATATAATTGATGCGATCTGATGCGAAGCGACGCGACACGTTCTGCCACTTTTTGTTACTCGACTACGCATACGACGAATGTGTGCCCCAACGTGTTGTTCGTCAGTCGCCGCGCTTGTTTCAACTAATACCACATTTAGCGCGACGATCAACAGCATCCACCAAAGAGTGATCGTTTCAGCCATCATCTTGTGTGTGAAAGTGAGGAGAAACAAACATACCATATTGTTATTGTTGGTTTTGTTGTTGTATTTTGTTGTTGCATTTCAATTGTCTGTGTATTTGTGTTGATTCTGTTTGGTTATTCATTTACGCCGACCTATTCTTGAAGGCAGCGACGATATACACACTCCGGTACATACATATCTTACGCTTATAGGGCGACTTTTGTGTTGGTGAGCGCTAATGGCGCTGCAATGCATTCGTGTGTGCGCAAATGCATAGAAAAAAGATGAAGTACATCATATAATAAACTCAGGGGCGGATTCAAAGGTGGCAGCAAACGGAAATTTAAAACTTTTGCACATATAATTTCGGTTGATAATTTTTTTTTTTACGATCAATTGGCTGTAACTAAAAATTATGATAATTATACCCTGAACAGAGTATATTAGTTTGCCAAGAAGTTTGTAACACCTATAAAGAAACGTCGGGGGGTCTAATCTTTTGTGTTTGTGAAGGGTATTATAGCTTATTGTAACCGAAGGTAACGTTTTTTCTTAAACTTTGACTTAAGAATTTAAACCTAGTCTTTTTAATTTCTACTCTTTCGTAAAGCGCATACACTTCGATAAACTAGTTAAAAGCCAATTTAACAGACCAATCTAAAAATGCAAAAGGAAGCGTTGAATCTAACCCTCAAAATTTATCATACTATTTGCATCACTGATATGATAATACTCCATATACATATATATATATTATATGTATATCGCACACTAAGTACAAACGAGTTACAACTCGAAATGTTGTTCAGAAGGTGCAAAAATCTGTAAAAATTATTAAAATTTTAAAGTCAATCGTCGTCTATAATGAAGAATACTTTTTGTAAAAAGCGTCTTACTCAAATATAATTGATTTTCCAATTTAACAGAGAAATTAAGAGACATTTCTGAGTTAAGACATCGACTAACAGTATGATAATCACAACTATTTAATCGAAAATGAGACATTTCAAAAAAGTAGACCAGTTAAGTAATGGGCAAATTTATGAGATGAAAATATTTGTATATCAGTAATTAGGATTTATTGAAAAAAATTGATTTTGAAAATGTTTGAATTGTGACTATTTGGTAATTAGTGTGCGATATGTATAATATATACATTTCAAATGTTAAGTATGAAGATAATAATTATACTCTCGCAACCTGTTGCTACAGAGTATAATAGTTTTGTTCACCTAACGGTTGTTTGTATCACCTAAAACTAATCGAGGTAGATATAGGGTTATGTATATATAAATGATCAGGATGAAGAGACGAGTTGAAATCCGGGTGACTGTCTGTCCGTCCGTCCGTCCGTCCGTCCGTGCAAGCTCTAACTTGAGTAAAAATTGAGATATCTTTATGAAACTTGGTAGACATGTTTCTTGGTACCGTAAGATGGTTGGTATTGCAGATGGGCGTAATCGGACCACTGCCACGCCCACAAAACGCCATTAATCAAAAACAAATAACTTGCCATAACTAAGCTCCGCAATAAGATACAAGACTGTTATTTGGTACACAGGATCACATTAGGGAGGGGCATCTGCAGTTAAAACTTTTTTTTTAAAAGTGGGCGTGGTCCCGCCTCTAATAGGTTTAATGTGCTTATCTCCTAAACCGCTTATGCTATAATAACAAAATTCACTAGAAGCAAATGTTTTTAGTACTTCTATTGACGGTGTGAAAATAGTTGAAATCGGGTGGCAACTCCGCCCACTCCTCATATAACGGTACTGTTAAAAACTACTAAAAGCGCGATAAATCAAGCACTAAACACGCCAGAGACATTAAATTTTATCTCTAGGATGGTATGAGATGACTTGGGATGAAATTAGACAGTGGGCGTGGCACAGCCCACTTTTAGGTGAAAACCCATATCTTGAGATCTGCTTAACCGATTTCAACCAAATTCGGTACGTAACATTCCTCTCATATTTCTATGTTATAGTGCGAAAATGGGCGAAATCGGACTACAATCACGCCTATTTCTCATATAACACCATTTTCAATTCCATCTGATCCATTTTCACTTCCCACTATGAATATCAAGCAACAATGATTATATCGGGGTAAAACTTTGCGTGAATAATACGTTTAAAGTATGCCACCTTGTGATCAAAAATTGTCTAAACCGAACCGAAACTGTTCAAGCCCCTAAGTACTAAATATGTGGGCCCCAGTGCCTATAGTTGACCTTCTACCGAAAATATCAGTCAATCCACAAAGAAATCTCAAACGAGTATACCATTTGACTTTGCGAGAGTATAAAATGTTCGGTTACATCCGAACTTAGCCCTTCCTTACTTGTTTTTATTCTCAAAATCTGAATTAAAAATGTTTTGGCCCAACAATGTATGTAAAAAGTTCAAATTTGTAGTACTGAGCTATTAAAACAGGAGTCACGAGTCAGAAACAAGTACTAAAGTTTTTTAAAAAAAAGTTTTTTAAAAAATGTTCGGGTAGAATGATACATACTCTCGCAAGTTTCTATAATATTAGAAATATATCTTAGAAGACTGCGTGGGCGATATGCTGCATATAATACATATTGTGCTTGAGAAAGCTGTCGGCGCGATGGGTGCTGTGTTTGTTTACTCCGGACAACAAGCTCAACCGAATCTCGAGGAGTTTCTGTTTCAGTTAAAATAACTTCGGAAAAGACGAAGTCTGTCCAATTGGGCGGAAAGAGCCCTTGGCCCAAATTTTTCTGTATCTAGTGTTGTTTACGAGATAATTCCAAAAAAACGCGAATTTCATGGAAAAATTAGGTTTTGGGGCCCGTACTACCCCGCAGGTGCAAGTTATAACTTTACCGCAATGGAGACTTTTGTAGAGCGTTCAATTCTGAGGAATACCTAATGACGGGTGAGATAATCCCATCAACTGCCGCTGAGTTATAAAATTAAAAAGAAAAAAAATCAAGTTTTACGTGTATTTTATATGGAAAATCTTTACAGGCCTAGGTCTAGTACTTAATATTAAAATTAAAGTTCCAAAGTTTTAGGCAATTTTTTTTTTTTGGTATTTCCAACAAAATTTCACCATGGGATCGAAAAAAAAAATAGTTCAAAAAAAAAGCAGTCTAATGTACATATGTATGTATGTATGCATATAGCCTTTATATTAAAGGCACTTTATGAGTATGCCTATTCCTCTGATTCTCTGAGACTAATATCCGGAAACCAATTCATTACATTATAAATATCCCTATATCAACACTGATTATTATACATTTTCAACAGTTAGGTGAATAATACTATTATACCCAGTAAAGCATATTGCAAAATATATAGTCATTTTTTTGAATAACATTTATTTATAACAATTTTTTATAAAAGCGCCCCTTTGTTGAAACGACCGTGAACATTTCACAAGAAACCCATTCAATATTTTACTCATCACACTAACATCAGGCTACAACAAATCGGCACACAAGCAAAATTATTTTCACTCTACCTTTAAACATCGATCGCCTTGTCTCGCATTTAGATATATATCCACTTTAAATCTGTATATGTGTGAGTCTTGCTATATGTGTTAGTCATTTTGTGATCGCATTGGATATACATATGTGTGTCTGTGAGCAAATGCGTGTGTTTACTTGTGTGTATTAAAAAGAGCATTGTGTTTGTGTATCTGGTCGTCGCGGCTGTTTGACTGCTTTGAATGGCTAACAATACGCAACCGGGCGGAGTTAATGCTTGAATGGCCAATCTGAAGCAAGTAAGCGTATCCGCAGCGTTACGCCGAGTGCGCGATGTCATGACTTTTTAGCGTCGAGTCGAGTGACATTGTAGGCGGAGCAGATCCAACTCATTCAGGTATATATGAAAATATATATATATACTATTATATATGGATTCATAGGCATGTGTGTACGTATTAAGATATGATTGTACTTTAGAATTTAAGTGCATATATGTAGATAAGTACGTTTAAGATATGCTCGTTCATAATATTTTAATTGCATATATTTATCCTGCAATATTTTTTTAACAGATATTGGATTTTTAATGAAATAAATGGATTTGATAAGAATTGAATTATATTACGCAATGCCCATAACACTTGAATATTAATTTAAGCATTTAAAAGTGTGCAAATATATATGCATCTAAATCCATTTGTAAACATAGGTGTATATATTCTACATATGTATGTACCGTATATACTTATAAATAGCTCTATTCCTAGTTAGAGTCTCTACGCCGCAGTTTTCCGTTGTTGTATGCTCTGCTTTGCTGCATTTCCAATTGCGTTGAGCCGTTGCGTCTTGGTTGGTTAGTATTAATTACGAATGCAAGAATGAAATAAAGTACACACATACATAGTTATGTATGTATATACAAATATGTACACATGTACATACATTCCTTCGTACTTGAGATCCTGTCACTCTGAATGCTGATCCGATCAAAGTTTAATGATGTGATGGTATAACTTTGCGAGCTATAAATAAGTACGCAATTAATATTTATATGTGTGTAAGTAAATTTATTTGTTTTAAAAGTAAAAAATTGCATTTTCCGCAAGCAATAGGCACGATCCTAATGATGCAGCTAGCAATTTTCAATTAATTCTTAGAATTGTGGTAGAATCTGTAATACGGAACATCGATATTATTTCAATTTATTTACTTAATCTCCATCTATCAATAAAATTTTCTGGCATATATAAATCATTGACATCTTATAAATTCACCTTTTATTTTTAGTCGTTTTTAATGCGTTTAGAAAAGAAACGCGGACTTTAAAATTAATTGAGGAGTGAAAGTAAAACTCTTTAGAATGAGTTCTCAGTTACTAATTAGTACGTCCAGTTGTCAAACCCTAAATGGAAGTCGCTTTAGAAACGCTTTATATTATATTTGAAATAAAGAAATATTCTCATAAAATCTATCA